TTGGTTCGAGACATTGAAGGGTATGGCAGCGAACCGACAGCAGTGGCGTCCTTATTGTCATTTCTTATCAGTCCAGAACGCTTGAAACGGTATATATGCAGATTTTGGTTGTGCACTTTGTGTTGACCGTAGTGGTTCACCTTCTCCCTCCCTCAAAATAGGTCCAATCCCTGTTCACCTTAAATTTTACCACTAATCTTGTATGCATTGCGAGTTTGGCAGCGGTCAGTGAAGTTCGCTTCACTGTATTTCGCTGTACGATGATGGTGATGATGATGCTTGTGGGGGCAACACGATATTGGGATCTAGTGGACGGGTTGGAACGACAGGAAGTTAGATCTGTGTGTGCAGTGGATGTGTTAGATCCGTAAGAATCTTGTGTATTCAAGCGTTCCACACGCATTCAAATCACGTTCGCACGATTTAGTTATCAACTCCTCCAGCGGGATTGAAAAGACGCGGCTAATGATGGTCAGCCCACGTCGAAGCAGTTTAGATTAGTTCTTTAGGAGATTTGAAAAAACAAAACAAATGAACAATAAATTGAAACTGGGAAGCAGACAGATAAACCAATTAAAAAAATCATTTCAGACTCATCTGAATTTTATTTCACCTGTTCGCCGAGCTTGGCAATTTGTTTGCAAACGTTTCACCGCCAGCTGAGGTGACATCATCAGTGCTTGTGAAGTGGCCACAGGCGAAATAGAATTCAGTTAACCCGAGCTACGAGAACCAATTTTCAATACTTTGTCAACATCTGAATTTGGAGATAATCGATTGTTGAATACGGAACTGACGAAGTTTACGAATATGTAAAGAAAGTCGTCGAAGTTTACTGACTATATATTAAATGTGGGAGGTCCAATGAAGATGAGCATTGCTAACAAACTCAAGTATTTAACACAGCTTACCCGGGATACTGGTTCAGAACCAATCGATGCCGATTCAGATGGGAAAGAAGAACGTGATAATGTAGAGACATTTGAAACATTTGGAGAGATTAAGAGAGAGACCAGATGTGACAGAAAATTGTTGAACTCTTTCCAAGTTGTCAGAATTATGAAAGACCAGAAGAATTGGAGATGGCCTGACACAAAACCACATCGGCAGCGTATTGGAAGATAGAAGTGGGGAAGCTAGCAAAGAAGTCGCTAATATACGTAGAAAATAAGGGTGGATAAAGGATTGTGCCAATAGTTTCTATTTCTTTCGACCGAACCTGGTGCATTCAGTTTTCTCAGAAAAGTAAGTACCCAGTAGATCAAGCTAATAGCTGCTTAGGCCAATCGGTCTGCGTTCTAAAAAGAGAGAGCATAGAATTCGAATCAAAAGCAAAGGAGTGGCTCAGAAATATACAACATACCCAACCGGAGTTATTGAAATATTTGGTCAAGTGAGGGAACTGCATCTAGCGTGCACCTGTTTGGTGTGTAACCACGCGGACTAAGGTCGTGCAGGACACCAAAAGAGGACGGGATGCGCATAAGGATAACATGTTCTGCTGGCTTAAGATTAACCAAAGTTTATACAATAGAATGAAAGCGTTTAGTCGGATTAGTGAGATTTGGGAATCGCTGCACATTGCAGTGTGCTCTCATTCGTTCATACAGATAATAGCTAAATTGCTACTCACTTGACCTAGTCCAGTGAGACTACACTGGCTAACAGGGCGAGTGATTAATCGATTGCGCTCACTACCACGACGAGACTGCACCTTGACGTGATGTGATGGCTTGTGCACCTCTCTGACCCAATGAGCCACACAGGATGGCTTTTGTCAAGCCGAAGATTTAATCATGCCTGGGAAGTCGAAGGATAGAGGTCGGACGAAATTCAGTCTCCTAGTCCTCCAGGTTGGAGGTTCGATTAGAGTTAGCGTCTCAGTCGGTAAAATGGTAGAGTAATAGATTCAATAGTAGTAGATCCGGTAAAGGGGCCCCTACTTCGCTTTACCTTGCAGTCAGGTTCTTGCTAGAACTAAAGGCTTTGGACGAGAAACCTAATCGTTCTCCTGCTTAGTGGCTAGACACCCTGGCAATATCCGTCCATCAAATTATAATGCATACACAAACCAAGAATTCCACACTGCATCGGTCATCGAGCAGAATAATCAGGACCGCGCTGCCCATTGCATCGAGCGGGGTGGGTAGTGATAAGTGGG